CACTGGAATTTAAACCCAACTTTCCTTGGTGCAACGTCTGCACTCTGTCCACTAAAGTAAAACAACCAATTTTGGACGAAGGAAATGGGGCAACTTTCCTAAGTAAAGCTGTCGTTGAAAACCTCGGAAAGTGTTAGATCCCAGAAATTCCATGGGAGTATAAAGGATTTTGATGATTGGTATTAAAAGTAATGGATTGATTCTGGAACCAGGAAAGCACCAAGTAGAAAAGAGAAGCTAGCATCAGTTCTAAGAGGAATAAAAACAAAGATTAGACAACAGTCTACTGTAGGCTATGTAAAGAATTGCTCTTGGGACTCAGCCAAGTGAACAAAATCACATTCTACTTTCAAATGAGGAAAGTCCCTTTTTTTCAACACGACTAAGGGGGGGGGGGAAACTTGTGCACAAAAGTGGAGCAAAATATTGGAACCCCTTATTCCCAACATTCATTATAAATCTCTTAACATGATCCTGTAAACCACTATAGGTTCACTATAAAACATCTTTTTTAAAATGACCACTAACAGACCCTGAAGGTCAGAATGTTTTCAGCATAGCAGTTTGAAAAATTTCAACACATGGGAGTTTTGTTGATGTCTAAACTAATATACTTGTTAATTTGATAAACAACCGTGAAAGCAAACGAAGAAAATGAGAACTATGTAAATTGGCACAAAGTTTCTCTGGCACCACATATACTCAAGTCTAACAAGAAAAGACAGAGTAGTGAGGATCTTTTTCAGAGACAAAGAAAATCCTAATGAACAAGACTGTGAGCTCAACTCTTTCTGCCATTAGTAAAGGTTTCCCTTGCTCGAAACCAGTCGGATCCGACTCTAGGGGGTGGTGCTCATCTCCGTTTCCAAGCCAAAGAGCCAGCGCTGTCCGAAGACTTCTTCGTGGTCATGTTACTTGCATGACTAAATGCTGAGGCGCACGGAACGCTGTTACCTTCCCACCAAAGCGGTACCTGTTTATCTACTTGCAATTTCTTGCTTTCAAAGTGCTAGGTTGGCAGGAGCTGGGGCCAGAGACGGGAGCTCACGCCGTCATGCGGCACTCGGATCTCGAACTGCTGAACGACTGACCTTCCGATCTGTATTTCAGCGTCTTAACCACTGAGCCACCGCAGCCCTCCTTTCTACCATTAACAGGGGGCAAAAAGGGGTTTTGTATATAGATGTATATGAACGACTATATTTTTAATCCAAAACACAGCATTTATAAAATCTCATTTTTAAAAATTATAATCACCCTATAGCAGATTAACAGCTTGGTACCGGGTCCACAAACGAAAGTTTGCGGACTGAAAGATCCTTAGTACAGTTATTATCATACACTGGGGGGGGGGGAGTTTGAATTCTCTGCTGCATCTAGATAAATTACAAAGGGCAAAGCATCAGAATTTATCCAAAGTAAAATACCATAAACACACATTAGAAGCACATCAACAGAGTTGATTTAATTTGCCATCAATTTATAGGTGAAGATAAGGATTTTTACTCTACTGGATTAGAACAGTGGTTACTACTAAATTATTGAGAGTAAAGATGCCTGAAATGGCAAAGTCAAAAATGTTCACTCATATCATGACACTTCAAATATAAAGTGCTACTAATTTATCAATGAAGAACGAAGTTCAAAAGCTTTTCCTAATTGTAGTTCCTTTTTAAAATATATCTGAAAATAGATACTACATTTTTATCTTTTTAAGTGGCATAAAGTGAAAGTACGCACAAAAAACTATGCAGCTGATACTAAAGTCCTTGCCATAAAAAAGGCTTAAAATGATAACATTAAGAATTATAATTATAAACCACCGTCTGACCTAAACTGAGCCCTTTTCGGCCTCGTGAATTTCAAGGGTGCATTCCAAGAGCACATTAAGCACATGTTCAAATATCACAGTAAAGTCAATGGGTCAAAAAAAAAAAGATGCTGGATCATACCTTATTTCACTTGCTAAGTGTTTTAAACTCTGTGAAAGTCAATGGTAACCAGACTGCTTTCTGTTATAAAAATCAATCTATTATAGGGAAGACATTATTATATCAAATTCTGCCTACAGTGGCGAAGCTGCATTTAGGCTTACTACAAAATAAATGGTTCTTTATGACAGATTAATCAAATTACATATTTTCCTCTTCAAGGCTAGCATTCCAGAGTTAGACACGTTATCCTCAAGGATGGAAAAATCTCCATATTCAGTTTGCCTATGTGCCAGAAATTTGATGCTAGCATCCAAAAATATAATTTCCCAGTTCTATGTACTGCTGGTGGTGGAAAGTGCCGTCGAGTCACAGCTTATTAATTGGCTACCTTGTAGGGTTTTCAAGGCAAGAGACGGTCAGAGGTAGTTTGCCAGTCTTCCTCCATGTCACAGCCCTGGTACTCCTTGGAGGTCTCCCATCCAAATACTTGCCACGGCTGACCCCGTTTTGCTTCTGAGATCTGATTAACCTGGCTACAAAGGTCAGGGCGCCTAGGAATTCTAAATATTTTTCCAGTTTGGGTTTTGAGATAAAGTGTACCGTGGATTTAATTTAATTATATCAGTTATTGAGGCAAGGACTTCAGATTGTGGCCAGTACCACTAAGTGAAAGTCTGGACAGAAGCTGCCAGTCTGCAGATAATATTGGTCTTAACTGGATCAACTGTCCAAGGTGGCATAATGCAGTTTTCCTGTGTTTATAATGGAGGAGAAGGGGCTGAGAGAACAGTGTCTACATCTTTCATGGCTCACAGCTTAGTCATCACTAGGGCCACACTAGATCTCATTATTATAGTGCTATTAGCTGCCACAGATTTAACCCCAACTACTGCACCTTGGCTGACTTCTGAATCAAAGCTGCCTAAAACAGAGTCTGCTTACTGTTAACACTATATTTTAGGTCCAAAATTCAACCTAATGCCCCCAACTTTCATCTTCTATGTGAAAACTACACCAGAAGTGATTTGGGGATTTTATAATTATTCTGAACATAACCCTAAACACTTATGTACTGATGGAAAACCTTGTAAAAGCCCACGTGGGCGCTACTGTGCAGGATTTCAAAGTGCCCTCTCCCAATGATTCTACCACCCATGCTCATCTTTCAAGAATTTATATAGCCGAGCTATGGAGACTGTCTGCATTATGAAGATGTACGAAAGGGCCGTACAAGGGCCTTCAGAAAATAAGAGCGACACAACGTTCCCTCTAAGCTGTGGAGTCTTGTGAGCAAAAATTCTACTTTGTGAGCTGCTGGCATTAAAGCTGTGAGCGAGCGATTTGGCTACTGCATCAGTTTGCTCTGGAGCCATCCCTTCCTGAGCGAAGACAGAAATGTGTGAGCTGGAGGCTACAAAACTGTGAGCTAGCTCACACTAACTCAGCTTAGAGGGAACAATGGACACAACTACCTTGTTTCCCCGAAAATAAGACACTGTTTTATATTTATTTTTTCTCAAGAAGACACACTAGGGCTTATACCACAAATGCATAGAAATCCTGCTAGGGCTTATTTTCGGGGTAGGTCTTATTTTCAGGGAAACGAGAGCCAGTTTGGCGTAGTGGTTAAGTGTGCGGACTCTCATCTGGGAGAACCGGGTTTGATTCCCCACTCCTCCACTTGCACCTGCTGATGTGACCTTGGGTCAGTCGCAAGCTCTGGCACAGCTGTTCCTGAAAGAGCAGTTTGTGTCAGAGTTCTCTCAGCCCCACCCACCTCACAGGGTGTCTGTTGTGGGGAGGGGGAGGGAAAGGAGTTTGTAAGCCGCTCTGAGACTCCAAGTGAAGGGCGGGGTATAAATCCAATCTCTTCTTCTTCTTCTTCTTCTTCTACTATCGCACATAAAGAAAGCTGGGTCAGGAGTCCAAAGCAGGCTTTGTGGTTAAGAAGAAGGACTTCTGGAAGAGAAAGCCTGCTTTATTCAAGCGGCGCGACTTATCTTACGCATAATTTAAAGCAAAAAACCTAGTTACAGACAGTGCCCTGAGATCATCACGGAAAACAGCGAAGCGCCTTGAAGGCTAAGTGGTTCCGTTCCTTGGAGGAAAAGCTGCCAGGTAGAGATCAGCTTGCTCTTTTGAGCTACAGACTCCCCAAGTTCCGAAAAGGACTAGGCGGAGGCAGCAGGCCGGCTACTTGCAAAGACCTTCCAGGCTCTCCAGCGCACTCTTCAAATCCCGGATGCGCTTAGCCAGGTCCGGCACGGGCTTCAGCTCCTGGTCCAGCTCTTCGCAGCGAGCGATCAGCGTGTACATGGAGCGGATGCTCGTGTCCACGGCCTCCCCTAGGCTCTCCACGCTGTCCCGGTAGGTCTGGATACAGCCGACGCTGAGAGCCGTCAGGGCCTGCAAGCGACCGTGCACGCCTCGCAGCAGCTCGTCCACCTGCGCCGCTACCTGAACGGCAAGAGCCCCCAAGTCCTGCAACGCCTGCGGGTCGACGGCTGGGATCGGGCAGCCGGGCGGGGAACCGAGCGGGATCTGCTGCTGCTGCTGCTGATTGCTGGCCACGAAGCGGCCGTCCCGCCGCGTGGTGCCTTCCAGGCCCGGCACCACCGGTTGCTCCTCGGCGAGTCTCGGGGCCTCCAGCCCCCCCGGGGCCGCCATTGCGGCCGCAGCCTCAGTCGTCGCTTGCCAAGGGACTTCTAACACCCCTTGTCGTGGCTGGCTCGATAAATCAGCGCCCTTGATTGGGGAGACGGCCGTCCCCGTCCCTCCCCCCCTCCCCCCGATCAGCCAGCCAGAAGGAAGGAGCAGGCGTCGCGAACACGGAAGTATTTATTTCGACTGGAAACTGCCCGGGACAGAAGTTCTCTCTCTCACCCTCCCTCCCCCCCCTCCAGTCGTCGAGCGAGTAGAAACGAGGGCGTGCCCTCACCGTATTTGTGTCTGCCCTGATTGGGCGAGGCGGGCGCGATCCAGGCACGAGGCCCGAATGACATGCCGAGCTGCGAGAAAGAGGCGGGTCTCTGCGCAATCCCCCGGCGCTGATTGGTAGGCCCCGGGAAGGGGGCGCGGCCTTGTCGGGGAACAACAGTGGGGTGTTGTGGCCGACTGCCTCCATTCCCCCGCCATGTTCTCCTAGCAGCCGTATCCGACCGCCTCTCTCACCATCGCAGCCTCAGCCCGCGCCACCCGGGCGCGCTCCGCCGTCGCGCCCCGCCGCTCCGCCCTGGCTGTCCTACCTCGGCCCGCGAACCCGACTCTTCCTCCCGCCTCCTCGCCGCCCCGCTTTGCCGAGACGCGACGCCCGAACCCTCCGCCATGGTGATGACCACCGCGCCTTCGCCCTTCCTGGCCCGGGCCTCGGCCGGCACCGAGGACCCCCGGCGGTTCCCCACGTCCCTCCTCCAGCGCCTCATGCGGGCGGACGCCGGCGGCGAAGGCCACCAGCCCAGCTGCTGCCTGGTGGGGCCGGGCGGCAGCCCCAGGCCGGCGCTGAAGCGAGTGAGGCGGAGGAAGGGGAAGCTACGGCCCGCCGCCGCCTCCAGCCTCTCCCAGAGCCGCTACCAGCAGCACCAGCAGCACCGCGCCGGCCTGGGTCTCGAAGCGGGCCGGGGGGCGGAGGAGGAGCCGCCGACCGCTTCCCCGAGATCAGCCAGCAAACCTCTCAGGAAAGAGGTGAGAAAATAGGGAGGGGGGGGAGGAAGTTTCCGTTACGTCCGTTGTCTCGGCCGAGAGCGGCTGAAGCGCACGCGCAGATAGGCTGGGAAGCCTCCGCCAATCAGCTTCCGCGGCTGCGCCCAGCAACAGCCAGATTTAGCCTTTTGGCTGCGGGGCGGGGCGGGGGGAAGAGACGTGACGGCGCCGCCGCGCCCAATGGACACGGGGGGCGGGTGTGTGGGTGTGGAGGGGAAGAGAAGAGAGTGGCGTCGGTGCCTCTCGGGGAGATCCCCGGAGGCCGCCTCGGGGCCCACTTTGGTCGAGTTCGGAGGCGGAGGGTTCAGTAAAAGCTAGAGAGAAAGGCGGAGGTTTCACTTTCCATCCCTTCCCTTGGTCGAGCCAAGCGCTCCAGAGTTTCCTGTCGTAGGCCCGAGATGGAAAGGGCTTGTTTGGGGAACGGCTTTTAAACGCCGTGTGGTCCCACCCACCCCTAAATACACTTGGGACCAATGCGCCCTCCAAGCTGTGGAGTCTTGTGAGCAAAGATTCAACTTGTGAGCTACTGCCATTAAAGATGCGAGCGAGCGATTCGGCTCCTGCATAGATTAGTTTGCTCTGGAGCCATCCCTTCCTGAGTGAAGACAGAAACGTGTGAGCCGGAGGCTAAAAAACTGTGAGCTAGCTCACACTAACTCAGCTTAGAGGGAACAATGGACACAACTACTATCGCACGTGAAGAAAGCTGGGTCAGGAGTCCAAAGCAGGCTTTGTGGTTAAGAAGAAGGACTTCTGGAAGAGAAAGCCTGCTTTATTCAAGCGGCGCGACTTATCTTACGCATAATTTAAAGCAAAAAACCTAGTTACAGACAGTGCCCTGAGATCATCACGGAAAACAGCGAAGCGCCTTGAAGGCTAGCGCACACTAACTCGGCTTAGAGGGAACACTGCTTGTGAGCCAAGGAGTTCTGAACAGTGTTCCCTTTAAGCTGAGTTAGTGTGAGCTAGCTCACGGGTTTTTTACCCTCTGGCTCACACATTTTTGTCTTAGCTCAGGAAGGATGGCTCCAGTCCAGAGCAAACTAATTTATGTAGTAGCCAAATCAGCTGCCTGCTCACAACTTTAATGGTGGTAGCTCACAAAGTAGAATTTTTTGCTCACAGGACTCCGCAGCTTAGAGGGATCATTGGTTCTGAAGTGTTGTTCAGGGGAGCCCATCCGTTGCTCATTATAGAGAAATCCCAGTAGGATCTAGGGGGTTGCCAGGTCTGAGTTGGAAAATACCTGGAAACTTTGGGGGTGGATCCGGGAGGGGGAGGGGCCTCGACATAATACAGTCCCATAGAGTCTACCCTTCAAGGCAGCCATTTTCTCCAGGGGTGCTGATCTCTGTCAGCTGGAGATCAGTTGTAAAAGCGGGATATCTCCAGGCCCCACCTGGAGGCTGGCAACCTTGGCAGGATCCCAGCATGTGTGATTTGTTAGTGATTTACAAAACATCCCCCCAGCAGCTTTTTTAAATAAACTGCGTAGCCTAATAAAGGAATCTCGAATTACATCTGTTTGAACTTTATGGCCCCTTGATCTTCCAGAAATACGCTTAAGCATTAAATGAATGTGTTCTGCTTGCTGAGCTAGATGGGCCAGAGATCTTCCAGTACAAGATAGCTTCCCAGTACTGACCTAGTAATGGGATTTTTAGACAGGTCAGTGGTAAATGTATTTATGAGATCATCTCTTCTCTTTACAGTTGTTGAAAAACAAGATGGGAAAATCTGAGAAGGCTACCATTCCATACAATCAGTCTGTTCATGGTCTACACCTGTGTGAACAATCAAAAATTAACAGACAGAGGAGCAAATGTAATTTACAACTAAACAAGCTTCCACCTGCAAAAAAAGCTGAAAATAACTTTTGGCAAGAGTCGGTATCATCTGAGCTCATTAAAAAGCAGGAGAAAAAAACTGTGAAAGACACAGAAAACAGCAAAAACGTGAAATCAAGGAAACCCATCTTTCTGACAGAAGAGAACCAAAAAGAAAATTATGCTGGGGCAAAATTTAGTGAACCTCCTTCACCCAGTGTCCTTCCAAAGCCGCCTAGTCACTGGGTAGGAAGCACTGTCCAATATTCTGACCAAAACAGGGAGATGATGGCAGTCCATCTAAAGACTCTCTTAAAAGTTCAAGCATAGCATATGGATAAGCAAGAACATACCAGAAATTTGAAACCTGCCTTGTTGCAACATGAAGTGCAAAAGACTGTCGAGTCTTAAAATCACAAACTTGTACTCTATTTTTTATGGTTGTGTAAATATTGTATATCATGTAATGTGTATATTCATATTTTGAGGTACATTTTAGTTTTGTTATGAAAGGATGTATTTTATACTTCCCATGTGGCAGATGATTTTGTATATAATGATGGACAACTTGTAATGTGTGCTTAACACAGAAGACTTGACAATGTTTGCACAAGGTAATGAGATTTGAAAATCGAGAAAAGCTTTCATCTCAAGGTTCAAATGGCAATGTGAAATCAAAGTACTAAGGCACTACTGAGAAGTTTCACAGTCTGTGGCACAAGACTTCATAAGATGTGAATCTGTTTGGAACAGTATTTAGAGTTAAATTCAATTCCTTCTCAAAAGACACATTTGGAATTTGAGTTAAATAATCCAATAATTTAGCATAGCTGATTCTCTAAAATAAAGCTGTGCTTTTTGCCCAGAGATAATTGGTGATTTAAAAAAAAAAATTAAATAAAACAATTTGGCTTCCCCTTATGCTGCTATTTGTTGTGATTTGATCTGTATAGCTGAGGTGGTGAAGTGACTCATAATACCCCTGTATTAATGTGCTCTGTGTGTTATGACTTCCATCTTTCAGATATTACAGTTGCTATGTACAGTGTTCATTAGGCCCTTCTCAACAAATCTTTAAAATTGAGGTGAACACAATATGAGACAAATATTGTGCTCAACAACAAGCTTTATTATATCTATACTAACATGCACCCAGGATATTCTAGGTATCCACTACATTCCTCTGCAGTTTTATGCTCCGAGGTTTAGTTATCAAGTGAGTTCATGACATACTTCTCCCTGATTGTCTATCACCAACTATATCACAAAAGCAATATACATATGAAGAAATTCTTCTGCAGGACAGGAACAGCCCCCCACAGCTGAACAGGGAAGACCTAAACATGGAAGCAGTCTTTATTATGCACATATTCCACTGCTAGAGCAAAATCCATCCATATACATTATGTGAATTCACCTGTAAATCCACAATATGGACATATGTTCACTGAGCGCTGGGAATGGGTGTGGTTCATAACTTAAATGGGCTCTGGCTGGAGTAACTGCAAAGAATTGTACTATGTTTACAAGCCAGTAGGAGCTGTGGTGGCTCAATGGGTTAAGATACTGAACTGCAGGCTGGAAGGTCGGTAGTTCAGCGGTTCAAGACCCTATTGCTGCATGACGGAGAGAGCTCTCATCTCTGGTTCCAGCTCCTGCCAACCTAGCAGTTCGAAAGCAAGAAATTGCAAGTAGCTAAATAGGTACCGCTTCGGTGGGAAGGTAGCAGCGTTCCGTGCGCCTTGGTGTTTAGGCATGCCAGCCACATGACCACGGAGAAGTCTTCGGACAGTGCTGGCTCTTTGGCTTGGAAATGGAGATGAGCACCGCACCCTAGAGTCAGATTCGGCTGGCTTTCAACTTTACCTAACCTTTACCAACAGCCAGTGCTGCAGGGTACCAACTTTGTAAGCCAGATGAGATTCCAAGATAATACTATCAAGGAAGGTAGGGGCCCTTATTTTTCTACTAGAAGTAAGCACAAAATAATACAGCAGTGTTTTTGGATTCAAAATATGTTGCAGTTACCTTCAGTTAGTGACAAAGGTAAGTAAATTTAAAACCAAAACATTTCCTCAAGCTTGAAAGAAACCTTGTGAAGAATTCTGGGTTTTCATGGCTTCACCCATATTTTGCCAAGTCTGTTACAAGCACATAGCAAATTTTACAGTTGTACTAAGCATACCAATAGTGCTGAAGTGTCTAGAGATCTGCAACAGACAGAATGCGGTGTGTGGATTGTGGCACCCAGAAGGTAGAAGATTAATAGAGCTCTGAGGATAAGTGACTTGCAAATGCAATTGAGAATTTGTAAGTATGGATAAATCTATTTTGCCAGAATAGCTTGCTTTCAATTAATGTTCTTTTTCTGATTTGAACCCAGTTGTAGCCCAAATATTAACACTAGCAAAACCTGAAGCAGAATAATGTGCAGATGCAAAATTTAAAAGGCCTATTCCATCTAATCTCCCAAAATAATGACATTCAGACCTAAATGTTCTCAAAGCAGATGGTATAAATGCACTAAATATACCCTTTCCAGAGATGCAGGAATAAAGTCAACAATCTGTGATGAGAACTTTTTGCTTCAATAAAGCGTATCATCATTGTCCATACTAATCCATTAATACAATTTGAACATGGTTAAAAAATAGCTTATTCATGATTTAGTGAAAAATCCACAACATTTTATAGCATATTAGAATAACGGCAACATAATCTCACTATTTTCCTTTAAAATATGTTTTGAACTACAGACCAAATAAATTTAAAGTGTTCCTGCCAAAGCCATGTGAAGAATATAACTAGAATGCATTTACTCAGCAAGCTGCATGTTTGTATTTAACATGGAACTTCACCTTTCAGAAAAAAAACTTTCACATCTTGAAATCAGGGCTCTATTTCCCTCTGTTGGGAATACTGTACACTAGTGAAATCCCACATTTGTGTTTTCTACTTTATGTTTGCTCTTTTGATTATCATTTTTCTTGTTAATCCTGTACTTTTGTAAACCATCCAAATCAGTATTAATATATCTCCAATATATTTTATCTTTTTTAAAAGTATATATGATCTCCTTTTCAAATATGCTTAAGGCAATGAACAACTCAACCAGTATACCACTGTAAAACCATAAGCAATAGGTTACACATTGCCATACTTTTAATCTTTTACACTTAGTTGAGTCTAATGTAGTTCATTGTTATTAGTGATGGGCACCCAAGACAGATAGCAAAATCAGTACTAGCAGCCACACTGCACAACCAACATGGGCTGGTCCTGGACATTGTGTGGAGGTAGCATAGCTTAACTGTTCTGGGAACTTCAACATATATTGGATGTACTAAAAGGAATGACAGGATTGCCCATTGGAAACAATGGGAAACACTTGAAGGACCATTCGAAATAATGGGAGCCAGGAAGGCCAACTGACTTGCATGGATTCAATTTAAATACATTAAAGGACAAGTAGAGTTGCAATAAAAATGTGGAATGGATTTACCATTAGGGTCTCTGGGTACAAATACGCTACTGTGGGAATAGAATGAGAGGCAGGAGTGTTCAGGGACTGGAATGAGAGACCACAGAGTGGAATGACAGCCCCAGGGTGGAGCAGGAGTGTTCAGGGACTGATACAGGAGACCATGGAGTGGAATGACAGCCCCAGGGTGTAGCAGGAGTGTTCTGGAACTGGAATTACAGGCCCCAGTAGAATGACATACCCAGGAAGTAGCAGGAGTGTTCAGGGACTGCAATGACCATCCCAGAATGGAATGACAGCCCCTGGAAGTAGCAAGAGTGTTCAGGGACCGGAATGACAGGCCCCCACCTCTGAGGCTTGAAAGGTTGGAACCCAAGAAAGGGCCTTCTTCATGCCCCACTTCTCCATATGAAGCCAGCTGGGTGACCTTGGGTCAATCACAGTTCTCTCAGAACTCTCTCAGCCCCACCTACCTCACAGGGTGTCTATTGTGGGGAGAGGAAGGGAAGACAATTATAAGTCACTCTGAGATTCCTTTGAGTAGTGAAAACTGGGGCATAAAAACGAACTCTTCTTCTCTACCTGTATATAAGGCTTGAGAAAAACTGTTTCAAATGCAGAGGTCATTTCGCGGGGATCGCAGTTCCCCCGGGTGAGGTACGGGGGTGGGGCACATGATGAAGCCCCGCCCCCTGCTTTCGGCCGCCCCGCTTCCGGCCCTCATTCAGCCAGGAGGAGGCAGGAGAAGAGGGAGGGTAAGTTGCTTCCTCCCTGCCTCTCCCCACCCCTGCCTGATTGGGGCCAGGGAGGGCCTTCGCGGGGCTTCCTTGCACTCCCGCTGGCCTTGCAGGTCCACCGCCGGGCCCCTCATGGGGCTCGGCAGTGGAGCTGCAAGGCCGGCGGCGGCGGGCGGGACCGTTGGGGGCGGGGTGTGTGGCCTTATAACACACTTCCGGTGATCTCAGGGGGTGTGGCCTTATGACACATTTCCGGTGATGTCAGGGGGTGTGGCATACGCTAATGAGTTATGCTAATGAGTTCCCCTAGTTCTTTTTCTACGAAACGACCCCTGTTCAAATGTATATGATGAAGTCTGCATGCCCAGGAAAGCTTATACGCAGAATTAAACTTTGTTGGTCTTTAAAGGTGCCACCGGACTCAAACTTCGTTCTTTCTCTACCATTGTCTTCTGCCAGCACGTTAAAACCCTTTTTTGGTTTCCTTTGGCATACACCCAGTAAACTGTTGTCTCTCTTGTTAGAAGTTAGCCAGTTATCCACTTCAGCTCATGACAGTGTTATAGTTTCTGTATACTGTGGAGCACCTATATGCCCGTAAACCAAAACATCATGGTTGTCATTGGGAATCTGCAGTGTTTCTGGCACACCCAGTTTCTCAGCTCCCTTGCATACATCCCCCTCTCCACCACTCCTCAGCTCCCTCACTGTCCAATCTTTCGCTGCCCCTTCCACAGGGTAGACAGCCAAAGTGCCATTGCTACTCATCACCCATCGGCTGTGACGCATAGCTCTGGCCCTAAATGATCCAATCCTTACAGTGAAGCTCCAGAGACTTCCAAGCAGGGCTATTGGCTGGCTTCAGAGTTGGCCATGCCCACTACAGCCAAAACCTCTGTGTGTGTGGCTACAGAGGGAAGGCCTGGTGAGCAACACACACACACCCAACTCCAAGGCGGGTGGGGCCCCCTGGAAGGATTGGGGAGGCATTTAAATGTCTTGTGCCTTCCCCAGCCTGTCCAAGGGAAGGCATGGGGGTATGGCCTAATATGCTAATGAGCTGCACTGTCAGGGGTGTGGCCTAATATGCTAATGAGTTTCTGCTGCTGGGTGTGGCCTATTATGCTAATGAGTTCCTGCTGGGCTTTTTCCTACAAAAAAAGCCCTGCTTCCAAGAAGGAGGGATAGGTTGGGGATGTAGAGAATCAGGAAGATGAGCAAAAGGAGAAAGCGGTGGGCAGGGTGGTGGTGGGGGGGGGGGGACACCATTCTGGCATGCCCGCCGGGAGTTGTAGTTCCTCTCCCAATCTGGCGTCGAGGCGTCTCCCTCAGAAGGACTCCATTTCCCAGGAACCCGCGGGACTCCCGCTGCAGTCACGTGGCCGCTCCCCGGGCAAGGGGAGAGGCTGAATAGCGGTTGCCGGCCATTTTGTGAGCGACCGTCGCCGCTGTCGTGCCCGTTCGTCCTCTTCCCCGCCCCGGGTCTCTTCCGCCGTCCAGGCCTCGGCCGCTTTGGCAATTTCTCTTTTTCTCACCCCCCCCTTCTCTCACTGCTGAGCCTGACAGAGCCCCGGGCGAACCCAGCCGCGGCCTTTTCCCCCCGAGCAGCGCCCAGCCACAGAATCGCATGTCCACTATCCAGAACCTCCAATCCTTCGGTAAGGGGAGAGGGGTCGCCTGGCCCTCCGGCGCGGGACGTCGCGGGGACCGGGGCCGCCTTCCCCGGGTCGCTTCCCGGGGCCTCCGCTCCGTCCCTCTCCGGCGCGGTGCTGCGCAGGTGTCCGGCCGGGCTCCTCTCGTCTCCCTCCCTCCCATCAGCTTTTGAGGTGTGGGTGGGAGGGGGGGGGGGGTGCGCGCTTGCTCGCTTGGACCGGCTCCGACTAAATCGAGGCTCTTTAGATTTAGCTTTAGGAAGGGGATTGAAGTCCCAGAAGGTTCGAGTTGCGTCCTTTCCTCCCCCCGCCGCTGCCGACCCTCTTCCTCGGGGGGCCCTTTTGGGATCAAGCCAGGTGTCTCCTCTGCCTTTCGCACCCTTCCCCGGCGCCTCCAGCCCCTTTGTTAAGAGGCTGCCAGTGAAGCCCTGGCTGCGCTGTCCCCTTCTCCGGCCGCCCTATCTGCACCAAGAAGCCCGTCTTTTTGTCCCAGTCTGCATCCAGCATTCGCTCCTGCTGTTCTACCAAACCCACACTGGCACAGAAATTCCCGTCTACATTGCATGCCACTTTCACTTTGGTCGCATCTGTGGCGGAATCTGCATTTGTTTTCCCCACCGCTGTCCCAGCCTTTTGACTCCGTCTTCAAAAAAGCTGTCTATGGTGTCGTTTTCACACCTCAACAGTGCTAGTATACTTTTGCATGTCCACATCCTTTCTGGTGGCTTTGCTGTCATTGCACCTCCACACCTGCTTTGAAGGAATCTTCTCCAAACAACATTCAAACAAGCATAGAGAAAGACAGCGGTCACAGCAGCACGAAAATGATTTAAAAATGCAAATGCAGATTCGGCCTTTGTTGTTTACACACTTGGGCTGCCCCCCGTGAAGGGAATGCTAAGTAGGAGCCCCGTTTACTTGTGGGCTGGAAACCTGGCCCTTTCGGAGCTTAATGTCTGCTGCCCTGGAGGCTTGAATTGTTTACTAGGGAACTTGCATGTAAGTTGTACTGAATTAGCAAGGTTGTTTAAATCTGCCCTACCAGTTATCGCTAGGGATGGCTTGACTCTCCGGCGTGTTTATTCTTAAAAGCATGTCGCTAACCTTCTCAAGAATGTAATAATGCCGTGTTGTTAGTTTTTGAGGTGACAGACTGCTCCCATAACACCTATCTTCTCTTATCAGCTTGTGGCGAAGAGATCTGCATAGCTCCCTCCTCTGCCCAGTGTCTTAGGTTATGCAGCTTCCACTCCTCATCCAGCTTATTTGCACCTTATTTCCAAGGGAACACTGTTTACTACTGTGGCAAATCCCACCAGGAATAATGGCAAACTTGTGCTGTCATAAAAGATCATATTTGAGATGTGTGCTTTGATGCCTTGTAAAATGACCGGGCAATCCAGATTGTTTGAGCCCTGCAGATCGTCTCCTGGCTTTTGCTGGTTCTGTATGGGTTGTAAGATGTCTCTCCAGTCCACTCCCTTCTTCATTGATTTAAATGTTTTCTGTGGAGATAAGCTGAATCAGACAGCCCCCTTTAACTTATTCCTCACGGTGCCTCCTTGTAGCTCTCAGATGTAGGCTGTTTCAGTGAGGAATCCACAGTAGGATCTTTCTATGCCATGGGCCTGGTTCTCACTGAAGAGGTAAACCTCTGGGCTGCACCGTTTCAGGGTAGAAGTGTCATGCTGTAATAGACCGTTATTGGGGCGGGGGGGTATTCCTACATATAGAAAAGTAGAAAGTTTGGAGAGGAAGGTAAGCTTAGGACTCTTCACTGTTTTGTCTTCTATAGAAGAGTTTTTTGTATGGCATACCATTGTATGGCTGCGAGAGTTGGACTATAAGGAAGGCCGAGCGCTGAAGAATAGATTCTTTTGAACTATGGTGCTGGAGAAGACTCTTGAGAGTCCCTTGGAATGCAAGAAGATCAAATCAGTCAATCCTAAAAGAAATCAACCCTGACTGTTCCCTGGAAGGCCCGATAATGAAACTGAAGCTCAAATACTTTGACCACCAAATGAGAAGGGAGCACTCACTGGAGAAGACCCTGATGCTGGGAAAGATTGAAGGTCAAAGAAGACGGGGACGGCAAAGGATGAGATGGTTAGACAGTGTCATAGATGCAATGAACATGAAATTGAGCCAACTTCAGAGGAGGGCGGAAGATAGGAAGGCCTGGCGTGATCTGGTCCATGGGGTCGCGAACACCAACCATTCACTGGTGTAATCACCTGCTGTTTGAAGTGGTAAAGCCTGCTTTTTAAATGGAAATCTCAGTTAACAGTGGGTCCTCCTGTTCTTTTCTTATCTGTCTTTCCCTCCAGAGCTAATACGGAGACAAGAGTCTGCTTAGGAAGATCTTTCCATTTTGTTGCTGAAAAGAACCCTTAGTGTAGAAGCCGGGTTCTATTTCATAAATCTCCCAGCTTTTATTTCATAAACTTCAAACATCTAATTTGAAAATTTAAGTATCTTTTAAGGTGGTGTTTTTGTGGGGGTGGGATTTTTTTTTAATAACGGTATGAATGCAATATTTGCAAGCTGTTGGTCTTAAAATAGTGCTGATTGAGTCACCTTGAAGATACATAACAGTTTCAGAAACATTGTGGGAAATGGGCTTGATTCCCTGATGTCATATGGCTAGCGTGTTAAACTGTTCTCATCATGGCGAAGAATCAAGTAGGCACAAGGACTAGATTATTGAAGCTCAGTCTACACAGCTGTGAGGAGACTAGGATCAGCACAGGGTCTTAAGTTTCCTTGGAATTATGTCCCAGTTTCCCTTAGAGTTCTCCATGGTCCTCTGCAGTGCCCATATTCTCTGTTAATTCTTGAAGACCTGGTAAGCTGCTGGTAGGGGCCTTATGTGGCTTATCCCCCCCCCCCCCAAATGTCTGTACATAAAAAAACCAAACCTGGGACATCATAAAGATGAGTTCTAGCATTCTACCCCAGAAGTCAGTTTTCTGGAGGAACATTCAGCTTCATGAGTTCTCACCTGCAATCTGAAATGGTATGACTGAGATGGCTCTGCGTCTACATGGAGGGAAGTCTCTAGTGGAGTGCTGCAGGGCTCGGTCCTCGGCCCGGTGTTGTTCAATGGTTTTATAAATGACCTGGAGGAAGACATAGTGGGGATGCTTATCAAATTTGCAGATGACACGAAGCTGGGTGGGATCGCTAATTCTGAAGAAGACAGAGTCAGGATTCAAAATGATCTAGATAGGCTGGAACAGTGGGCTGAGACAAAATGAATTTCAATAGAGATAAGTGCAAAGTCCTACACTTAGGTACAAAAAATCAAAGGCACAGATATAGAATGGGAGGGACTTGGCTTGACAGCAGCACATGTGAAAGAAATCTAGGTGTTCTAGTTGATCACAAGCTACACATGAGCCTGCAGTGCGATGCGGCTGTGAAGAAAGCTAATGCAGTCTTAGGATGCATTAACAGAAGCATTGTGTCCCGATCAAGGGAGGTGGTAGTTCCACTCTATTCTGCTATGGTCAGGCCTCACCTGGAGTACTGTGTCCAGTTTTGGGCACCACATTTTAGGAAAGATGTTGACAAACTTGAGCGTGTCCAGAAGAGGGCAACCAGGATGGTGAGAGGGTTGGACTCCAAGTCTTACGAGGAAAGGCTGATAGAGTTGGGTATGTTTAGCCTGGGAAAGAGAAGGCTTAGAGGGGACATGATTGCAGTCTTCAAGTATTTGAAGGGCTGTCACGTAGAAGATGAAGCAGATCTATTCCCTCTTGCTCTGGATTGCAAGACTAGATCTAATGGGTGGAAATTACAAGGGAGTCGTTACCGGCTAAATATCAGGAGAAACTTCCTAACTGTAAGAGTTGTTGAGCAGTGGAACAGTCTGCCTTGGGAGGTGGTGGATGCTCCTTCGCTGAACGTTTTCAAGCAGAGGCTGGACAACCATCTTTCGGCTATGTTGTAGGTATGTAGGGCTGTCTTTCGGCTATGCTCCTGCAGAGTGCAAGGGGTTGGACTAGATGACCTGCAAGGTCCCTTCCAACTCTAACATTCTATGATTCTATGACCCAAAGATATATTTACCACCTCAGAACTCAGGTTTCAGGTGTGTTTAAATGTCTGAACAAGCCAATGTGATGAGGTGACATGAGAACTGCGTAGGCTGTGAAATGCAATCTAGGTGCTGTGTGCTAGTTTAGATTTCTGAAGTTTGGAAATGGCACTTGCTGGTATTGCATGTCCTTATTCCGCGGCTTGTAGTTAGTATTTATTTTGGATGTGCCTTTACCTCCCCTTGATAATTTTACGAGGTGTTGAACCTCTCGTGATTCATTGTGCAGTTGTAGGGGATTTGATGTGCATCAGTAGATAAATCACACAGGCCTTGACACCTTAAAAGATGGCATTTGAATCCTCCACCTACAACGTAGAGGTGCTTCATGGGAGTTGGATTGATGTGGGGGGGGGGGGAAACCTTGAAGGTAGATGTCTTGATCGCTAAAGTTCAAAGGCTTGGGAAAGGGAAATGCTGCCATTATTTGGGATGGCTAGCCATTAAACCTCTGTGTGGTGTATGGTGCAGTTAGTGGGTTCGAGGCCAAAGAGTGAGTCATAGGATTTATTTTAACCGAGTGCCTACTGGTATGCTAGCTTGTGTGGCGTACATAGCTTCTAATGTCTTGTTGCTTACTGTGGTTAGTAGCAGTTTCTGAATATAGCTAGATGTGTCTAGAATTCTCTTGTTAATGTATTCGTTATTGTCTGCAGAAGTCCTTGAAATGAGGTAACGTTTGAGTTGGCCTACAGTGTTTGCGTTTCAGGAATTCTGTATGGATAAAACTAGGATCCAGATATGAATCTTAAAGAGAACTATGATGCAAAGCTATAAATAACACTATTCCATAAGTCAAAGTAAATGCTTCTATGGGTATAGATGGTCAGCATCCCTAACTGGGTGACTTAGTGTCAAGGAGAAGGCCTGAAGCAGTCATAGCTGCATGAATGTACAGCTTTGAGGGTTTGCTCCAGAAAACTGCTTTGGCCTAACGTGTGGGTTTCCCCTCCCTGCAGACCCCTTTGCTGATGCAACTAAGGGTGACGACTTACTCCCGGCAGGGACCGAAGACTACATTCATATAAGGATCCAACAACGAAATGGGAGAAAAACTCTAACTACTGTTCAGGGAATTGCAGATGACTATGACAAAAAGAAACTTGTGAAAGCTTTCAAAAAGGTAAAGTTGAGTGGCAGCCCTGAGGCGTTTGAGTTTGCCTGGACTAATCCATGTAACGAAGCTTTGCAGCATGTAAGTGTCAGTAACAACTCAGACGTCGTATTCCTGAGCATTCAGGTTTTGTGTGAAATGAGTGCTCTCTTATCAGAAAGAGGGCTTTTTCCTTTTGTCAGCAAAACCAAAAGAATGTAGTGAGTGATGAACTCTCTGGCAGGAACAGCCCACGCCTCATCTGTCTTGCTTAAAAACATTGCTTTTTATCTGAGCAGCAGTGGTGGTCTTATCTGTTTTAATAATCAGCTTTAGTGCTTCTTTCTAAAACTGGATTTGTTCCTCAATTTTGGCAAGTCCTTAAAAAAAAGGTATCTAAGCTATGCTTGGGGAGGGAGCTGAAATCAACGCTGCTTTCACTAATTACGGCAGAAAATATAAATTGGGGAAATCAGTTTTGTGTGTTTGGTGTTCATTTTCTACTTCTCTGGAAGAGCAGTGAGTAAGCGAAGCTGGGAGAAAAAGACTGTTCACATGGTGCAAAAGGAAGCATCGTGGTGGTGTACCAAAGAAGTTGCATGGAAATTATCTGGGACGTGTGAAACAGAACACATCTGGTTTGTGGTGGTCAGGCTAGGGAAGCTGATGATAGTGGTAGCCGAGCACCCACTTGGCACCCGTAGCTATGCAGTTACAAGAGAATCATAACCCTGAATGTTTAGAACATCTGTCAAGAGTTATGATCCCTTGGAAAAGGGCAGTTGTGAATTTGCTAGCTACAGTATAGGGACTAGTCTCACCAAGAACAGCCAAACTGATAGATCCAGGTGGGCAATAGAACAAAATTAGAGTCCAGTGGCAGCTTTAAGACCAACAAAGTTTTATTCGAGATAGGATCTTTCGTGTGCATGCACACTTCTTCAGATACAGATATCTGAAGAAGTGTGCATGCGCACAAAAGCTCATATCTCGAATAAAACTTTGTTGGTCTTAAAGCTGCCACTGGACTCTAGCTTTAGCCAAACTAATTGATTTTGGTAGTCTTCTCAAAACAGTCAAAACTTTTATTTGCTCTTTAACATATGGAATGTTTCTTTGCAGAAATTTGCCTGTAATGGTACTGTGATTGAGCATCCTGAATACGGGGAAGTGATCCAGCTGCAAGGTGACCAGAGGAAGAACATTTGCCAATTCCTCCTAGAGGTGAGTGACTGCAGAGCTAGCAGTTCAAACCGCTGATAACTTGAGCTTTACAGTAGACTCAGACGCCTATTCAGAAGTGTTTTAGAAGCCTCGGATTTGCTCGTAGCCCTGAGAATTAAAGGGTGACAATTCTGTGATGCATCACTGCTTCCATCTGTGAGCCACATTGCCATCCTAACTAAATAAGTAAAGAGCTTTTATTTGAGACATGGGGTACACTGTAGGATTGATAGGGCTGACAGGCAAATTTAGTTGTTGCTATTATCAGGGAGGAGCTGCGGTGGCTCAAGTGGTTAAGACGCTGAACTGCAGGCTGTGGAAGGTCAGTAGTTCAACAGTTCGAGACCCAAGTTGCCGCATGACGGAGTGAGCTCCCATCTCTCGTTCCAGCTCCTGCCACCCTAGCAGTTCGAAAGCAAGAAATTGCAAGTAGATAAATAGGTACCACTTCAGTGGAAAGGTAACAGCGTTCCGTGTACCTTGGTGTCTAGTCATGCCGGCCACATGACCACAGAAACGTCTTCGGACAGCGCTGGCTCTTCGGCTTTGAAACTGAGATGAGCACCGCAACCCTAGAGTCGGATTCGACTGGCTTTCGAGCAAGGGAACCTTTACTTTTATTATCAGGAAAACTGATACTTGAATGGATTTTATCGTAAGAAATTTTCAAGAAATAGGGTCCTTTTCCAGGATTTAGTATTTTTGTTTCTTACACTAAAAATGCCAGCAGCCTCTCCTGTTTTTTGCACAAGTCATTGGATATTGCATGCCGACTTCCTCTCCTGCGCTGGCTCTTACAAGTCCACTGTCTCGGTTATGCATTGGCTTGGGGCTCAGCTTCTAAATACACCCACCTTATTACCATTTCCTTCTTTTCCCCCCCTAGGTTGGCATTGTTAAGGAAGAGCAGCTGAAGGTTCATGGCTTCTAAAATGTGTGTGCTTACATGAAGAACTCTGCAGGTTTTGTTCGTAACCAAGCTGGCTACTCTGTGAAATATGATTCTTTGCAGTAAATGGACTTCCCATTCAAAACCTGATTTGCTTTTGCATGACTACAGAAAACATATGGAGTGTAGACTAGAAACACATAAGAAAATTGCAGTAAGATGGTAACAAAAAAATCCTTGAGAATTTTAACACATTTCCAATGGAAATGTTTTACTGCTGATAGTTCAGTGTATTACTTTTCACCTGATTTAAGTGTTGTATTAAAACCATGTGTATTGCAGCTTAAATAAAAGTCTCTTATCTTACCTTTGAGTATTTAGTGTCCATCAACTATAGCCCTCAGTGTACTGGTTTTAAGAGGTTTAGCACCAGCTCAAATATTTGGGAGGTAGGTAAAATCTCAGAAGAAAGAACTGACGTAAACACAATTACCTGAGGCTTTGAAGGGATTTCAAAGCGATGTGAGGTTGGGGTATAACGCAAATCATATTGACTATTGCTTGCTCATATCACAGTTGTGTACCATTCATTTGGTAAGGGGTGGTTTAAATCCTACCACTTGGCCTGTGAGGTGCCTTGGTTTCTAGGTTTCTGTCGTGCTAGGCTTTAGGCTTCATGCTACTAATAACGGCTGAAGCGTCATCTATCTCCCACACATGTTATTGTTTAGTCATGGCTCTTGATGGTAAGAATATTGTTGGATGGTCTTGCTGATGCCAAGCACTGGCTCCTACTACTAGCAGGGAACATTGGACGGCAACCCAAATTTGCATTTCACTAGCTACTGAAGAACTGAATCAACCGCTAGTTCTTTTTTTAAACACACAACTTTTTCCTGTCCTCCTCTGCCTCCCTTTTGATATCCCCCCCGCCCCCCCGTTCTGGAAGCATCTAATGTTTTTCATGATGTTTTAGTGAATGCCTGTGCTGGTAGTGTAAAATTTATGCTGGATGAAATACTCATCTGGATGCTTGTCCCCATCCCAATTTTTCTCTTACAGGCCTGGCAAGAAAAAAGCAGAGCAACCTTGAATTTTAAGGTCAGCGTTAGTATGGTCCTCCTTCCGTTCGAAGGCAATATTTATTTTAAAATAACTTCTAAATACTTATTAGCAATGGTAGGTGCCAATTACTTCATCTGTTGAGGGGAAAGCAGAGTTTGTTTCTCAACTTTAGATTTAAACCTGCTAGGTGGTGGCCGTAAATGAATCACTGCTTCTTTATACCCCAGAGTTTGGTTTATATCTGTAAGAAGGGTGGTATTTGCTTGAAGAGATAAAACAGTTGGTGACTCATGCCTGTAATTTCATGCATTTTGGTTATTATGTGATTTTTGTTGTTGTTGTAATGCCACCTGATGTGTGGAAACTCCCTTTCCATTCTTCTGGAAAGCACAGTAGCGGATGTGCTCTCCAGTGTGTTCAGTGCAAACGTCTTCTGTACTCTTTACAGTCTGAGATCAGCAACACTGGAAGGGAAGGGGGGGAGTGAGGAGGCCTAAATGAAGGGGACCGTCTGGGAAATGGTAAATCTGCCTTGCAGCAAGAGTTTACATTTGTGAGTTAAGATGACATTAGCCAAACCACCAGGCACACTTCCCAGCTCCAGTCCATCTGCTGCATTCCTCTGCTTCCGAAGGCTGTGTGCTGCAAGTCCCAAAGTCTATTCATGTACAGTGCTTGTTTGTATACCGTGTGCATGTACCATCGCAGTACTGGGGAAAACGTAGCAGGGACTAGCTTGCAGGTAACGATCATTGCTGTGAAGATGAGAAGACAACTTTGATGGTACGCTTTTGCCCTCTTTGAAGTAAGTGCACATTATGAAGATGAATTCTTACAAAAGACCAGCTGATCCTTGGAAACTGTGGTGCGGTTTCTAGCAGTACATTTTTACAGTCAGTTTAGGAACCACTAACCAGCTTTAGGAATACCTGAAATACATTGTTGTCTTCCAGAAATGGAGGCAGCTATACCTGAACGTTTCCACCAGATGCTGGTTGAACTGAGTGCATGGGGGAAGGAGGTTACGTTATTTAAGTCTACTTCACTTCCACATTGAAACCCCTCCCCATTTTTCACATCTGACTGTCTTTCCCACCACAATGTGTATTGAACAGCTAGAAGCTCAGCACATTTGGTTGATCTTTTCAGTGGTAAATAAAGCAACTGTATACCTAGATAGACCATCTTACTTTGACAATGTTGGATGGAGACTCAGAATTGGGCACAGAATTGGGGAGGCACAGAATTGGGGAGCGGTGGCACAGAGGATTTATCCTCTGGTTACAGTAACATCTGAACTGAACAGAACTGCTGTCAGTTCTTGCCCGTGCTGGTGTGAGCTACCAGCCTTGTCCCCAGCTCACCGTCCACCCAGCGGTTCGAAAGCGTCGGCGAGTAGATAAAATGGGTACCACCCCTTAGAGAGGGTGGGCACACTAACCCCCCCCCCCGGTGGGGGGAGGTGTTAGCCGGCAAAATGGAATGTTCAGCTCGGAAGCCTGGAAAGATCTCCTTGGCATCAAGATACCTGTGATGGGCCGATCCGGCCAGGTGGTGGCAGTGCGGCGCTGCGACTTGAAGCCGCCCTGGAAAAAGCTGACGTCATCAAGCCAAGCCGAGTGAATGCCGTCTGGAACACATCTAAGCCTACAGCCGAACAAAATCCCCGTCGGCTGCAAACGTGTGCGACATAAAAGATTTATATGTTGTCCTCCTTTACCCCTATGCATCATTGTTAGTCCCGTGTGAATATGTGTAACTGTAAATCGCTCAGAGCCAGCAGCTCTGCAGGATTGAGCGATTAATAAATCGAAAGATATTATTATATTATTATTTCTGATCCAGACACAGGGTTCAGTGCTATTTTACGTGCTAACAATACGCTTCTGGTTTGGTTTCCACTGAAAATGTCATTTTCTGGGGCTTGAAGTCCTGAGTACTTTAGTTAAAAGTGTTAGAAAAATACTAATAAAAAGCTATAATAATTAAATCACTGTCTGGGAATATCTTCTTGCTTGATACGTTGGAGATTTGCAGAATACTGAGATTGCATTTCTATGAACATATGGAGATTAGAACATTTGTGGAAGTAGTTCAGAGGTACATATTTTCACACTAACCTTCCCTGGTAGGAGTCTTTTCAGTGAAGCTGTCTGAGTTCCTTCCAGTAGCATAATGGATGTGGGCATGGAACAGCTTCCTCTACAGTTCCGGCTAATCTCATCCTTTTAGTTTTCTAGTCTTAACCTTTCCTAGTCCATTTACCCAGAATACTGAAACAGCTTCAGGAGGTATCACCCTTAGAAATAGCTGCTTCCGTCATCCCCTTCCCCCTTCAAAGTAATCTCACCTGGCAAACAGGTGCCAGTTAAAGCACTGCTAGAGCCCCAATGCTGTATATCTGTTTGGTATAGTGGTTAAGTGCATGGACTCTAATCTGGGAGAGCCGGGTTTGGTTCCCCAGTCCTCCACTTGAACCTGGCTGGATGACCTTGGGAAAGCCATAGCTCTGATAAGAGCTGTTCTTGAAAAAAGAGCAGTTTCTGTCAGAGCTCTCTCAGCCCCACCACCTCACAGGGTGTCTGTTGGGAGGGGAAGGGAAAGGAGTTTGTAAGTCGCTCTGAGACTCCCTTGGGTAGTGAAGGGTGGGGTATAAATCCAATCTCCTCTTCTTCTTCATTTACCTCACAGGGTGTCTGTTGTGGGGAGGGGAAGGGAAAGGAGTTTGTAAGCCGCTCTGAGACTCCCTTGGGTAGTGAAGGGTGGGGTATAAATCCAATCTCCTCCTCTTCTTCTTTTACCTCACAGGGTGTCTGTTGTGGGGAGGGAAAGGGAGAGGAGTTTGTAAGCCTCTCTGAGACTCCCTTGGGTAGTGAAGGGTGGGGTATAAATCCAATCTCCTCCTCTTCTTCTACCTTTAAGATTTTACAATACTATCTGCTTAGCTTAAATTTCTGAAGAGTGTTAACAGAACAGATGTATGTTAAAAATCACAACTGTTTCATGTATTTTTTGCAGTGCAGGGCCACCATAACCAAATGCATATTGCTGTGCTAGGTGCAAGTGATGTCTCATCTGTTGCAAATTAGATTGAGAGTTTGTCCAGCTACTAGAATGACTCTATAGCAGGCATGTTAAGATTTCAAAAAGGACAGCAAATATCAAGGGGAGTCGGACTACTCGTTGGGCACGAGGTAATGCTAAATTTATTTCAACTTGATTAATCAGGCTTCTTAGTACTAAACCAGTCTAGATTTAGCTCTCTGTCTTGGGGGGGGGGGGGGCTGGGTGTGATCCAACAAACCAGAAGGCGCTGCCACGTCAAATGTGCCTCCACTCTTGTGAGCCTGGCTCTTTGCTGTTGCCTAAGAAGGCTGTCTCATGCTTCGCATCCCGGGAGTTGGTTTTTATGGTACAAGCCACACGGCTGAACCCCATACCTGCTCTATGCACGCTGTAATGGACTAGAACTGATCCGATACCAAGGAAGGCCACTGCATTTGTTTTTCAAAAGAGAACGAATGGTTCTTGTACTGTCAACTTAAGGTGTGGGCAGCCGCATTGCTTTTTGTCAGACACTGTAAACACCATTGACGATGACCATGTAGAGTGGACTCCCATTGTCACTGTAAAGAGGACGGTGGATGAAGTTCCACAAAGGACAACAAAAACTTGGCCTAAGGGATCTGTTTTTTTATCAAACTTCTCTCTAGTGTTCATTGATCGCCACCCCAAGTTGATCAAATAACTTGTTCGTCTCTCATTCATTGAATGTGGCTTCCTGATTTGAAACTCATTTAAAGACCTTTTGACTCCATCCAGATTGCAATCACATCCATTATCTCATCATTTCACCTGAGCACTTGATGAGCAAGCATGAACTTCTCCTGGCTTCCTTTAACTGACTAGCACTAGAGCTTTTTTTTTTTGACTGACTGGCTAGAAAACCCTTTTGCCAAACTGAAAACATGAACATGTTTCCAAACTTAAAGCAATTCCTTTCCCCAAGATGCTGCCGCTTTCTTTCATCAAGAAGGAAGCGGCCATCTATTCTGCAAGCCAATTAATTTTCAGTAAGAGGCTGCGAAATGTAGTTTTGAATGGAGTTTCTTTGATTTGCCATGAAGTGGCCCCCGGTGCTTTACTATGGAATTTTTCCATTCAGATACAGCAAATAAAGCCAACTGGCATTCTGTTGGAATGCAAAGGCAGCAGCATATCACATGCTTTGCTCAAGTTGTTTTGTTGTGAGCAGATTTCATTCCATCAAGTAGGGGGAACAGGAAGGCTACCAAAATGCTCCAGTAGCTGCCTCATTTGGGGACTATTCTTTGTCCTTGGTCTGTATCCTGAACTCTTATTTCCTCATTGATACAAAACAAGTAAGCCATTCAGTACTGGCTGACTTGTTTTGCTATTTTAGGAATACTTTTCAAAGCAATCATACTTGCCCGTAGCTACAGAGCTTTAAAAAAAAAAGTTTAGGACCCAAGTAGACTGCTGCGGTGGCTCAAGTGGTTAAGACGCTGAACTGCAGGCTGTGGAAGGTCAGTAGTTCAGCAGTTCGAGACCCGAGTGTGCCGCATGACGGAGTGAGCTCCTGTCTTTAGTTCCAGCTCCTGCCAACCTAGCAGTTCGAAAGCA